CCCCACCCCCGGGGGGGGGGGGATGGCCACGCCGCAGTCCCTTCTCCTCCATTCTCCTGTTAGGATTTCAGACACGCACATACACGTGCCTGGCGTGAGTTTAAGCCACCAGGTCCGGGACTCGAACCGCAGTCAACTACATGGGAGTTCAGCTACATAGCCATTATGCTAACTGCTGGTCCCAACACAAGTATATATTTTGTAATGATAAAATCAGTGTGATTAGCAGAGCCCTCACCTTATACATTTGCCTTTGTTTTTTTTGGTAATGAGAATATTCAGAAACCTCTCCTCTAGCTATTTTGAAATATATAGTATGTCAGTGCTAACTATAGTCACCTTCCTTAATATACGTTAATTGATCACCAGAACTTACTCTTCGTATATATATATGTTGATTTGCCCCTCAGAGGGCATGTGCGCTCACTGGAGAACACGCACAAGAGAAGAAAAAGAGAGAAAGTACCCCAGCCCATACTCGGGCATGGTCATGCTGCAATCCCTTCTCTTTTATTTTTGCCTCCTGTCAGGATTTTGGGCAAACACACACTTGGTGTGTTTTCCAAGATTCTGGGTCCAGGACTCAAAACTGTGTAGGCAGACATGTGGGTTTTCAGCTGCCTTCACTATCAGGCCATGGCCTGCCCTGATTTTAACTTTGTACTTGTTGGTCAACCTGTCCCCGTCCTCTTCTTCCCCTTTCCAGTCCCTGGTGACCATTTTTCTACTCTACTTCTATGAAGTCAATGTTTTTAGATTCAATTTATGAGACTATGAGGTATTTGCCTTTCTGCAACTGGCTTATTTCACTTAATATGATGTCCTCTAGGCTTATGCGTTTGGTCTCAAATGACAGGATTTCATCCTTTTTCATGGTTAATATTATATTTTCTTTCTTCCCTTTTTTTAATTTTTTTTTTATTTGGTTGTTGTTATAGGGTGCATGTGATTGCTGGAAAGAGAAAGAGTAGAGAGAGAAAGAGAATTCTCCCTCCTCCTCCCATCCCCTTGGGATTATAGCCACACCACAGTCCCTTTGGGCACACGTGCACACGGCTGTTATGCTTTTTCAAGCTGCTGAGTCTGGGACTTGAATCATGGAGTCAGCTACATGGGATCGAGCCATCTTAACCTCCGTGCCATTTGTTGGCCCTTCATTTTGTGTATCATATTTCTTTATCCATTTACCACTGGACGTTTAGGTTGACTCCAAATCCTGAGTACTGTGAATAGTTCTGTGATACACATGGCAGCGCAGATATGTCTTTGACATGCTGAATTCTTTTTTCTTTTCTTGGAGAGGTTTTGCTATAGGGTGCGTGTGCTTGCCAGAAAGAGACAGAGCAAGAAATCACCCACCAGGAGGGATGGCCACACTGCAGTTTCTTCTCTTCCATTTTCCTCTTGGGATCTTTGGGCACACACACCCAGTATGAGTTTAAGC